GTATACCGTGCAACACTACTGTGACATTAACAAATTATAACTTCTTGTCAACTTCTGACATTCATTACATTATTCAAGAAAAAAATTCAAGATTTTGATCTTTTAAATTATATCGCCTATTCTCCAGCCTAATTGAAGTGTTAAAATCAAAAACCCCCAAAACAAAAGGGTTTATCCCAATTCTCAAGAATGGGTGATCTTCAACCCTAATGGCAAATCATATCTTCCCTTATCATAAGTGGGGTTTCCATCCAAATGTATTGAAATTTTTGAACAAATTTTGTGAAAATGCGCAAAGGCAAATGCAAATTTATGCCCGTTTCCATTCGTTATTGTTTTGCGATTATTGGGAGTCAACAGGAAGAGCAGTAGGTGGCACTTCTCGTGAAAAATGAACAAAATGAAAAAACACCCTGGTAGAAGAAGAGTGCGCCATGAGATGACGTCATAAGAGAGCGTCTTATGCCCACTGTAAACAACAACACACTCAACTGAAACTCAACAACTGACCCTGGACAGATTCCTGATAAACCTGTCGGCTCTTGGGAGAACTCTGGTTAGCATTTTGTCAGCATTCACAGCGTACCTAACCAGCTTGAAGAAGAGACGACAAAGAAGAAGTTTAATGTTAAGAGTACTGTCGGAAATAGCTGGAAGGAGACCACTGTGTCGTTCTCCGTGTGTATGAGAACATAGGCGTGTGAAGGACTTTTGGGAAGTAGTTGTCCAGCAGCATTTCACTCACGAACTGTGGCTGAAACATTTCCGTATGTGAAGGGCCACATTTGAGGATCTGTGTGCCAGTACGTCATCGTTTATTCGCAAAACCTGTTTCCATAGCAAAAAGTCGCATTTTCCTTTTATCAATACGCTGACAAATCCACCCTCTCCAAGCGTAAAAACTTTTTTTTTGCGAATTTTCGGCCTTTTTTTGAATTTCTGGCGTTTCCATCCATTTTTTTTTTTTTCGCAATTTTTGAAAATGCGAATAAAATTAGGTGGATGGAAACCCAACTATAGACAAGGAAAACTGATAATGTCATAACTGATTCAAAACCAGAGTCGAGTAAAAACTGACACATTTTGGCTTTGTATATGTTGCACTGTCCTATGCACTGCCAGCATTGTACTGATAGGCATCATAAGTGTATGAGATCTATCAAGAACTCTACAACAATCAATAAAGACTCACCCTTCTATGGAATTCTGGAAATATCACATGTCCAACAAAGCCCTGGCCATTGCTTCGACAAAAACTAAGTCGCCTACGAACACACACACGCACGCTCAAGTGCGCCAATAACTTGTTTGAAGGACTGCTTCCTGAAATTTGAATCATCACTCAAAGACCCCTCAGTTGACTGAAATTGCCTCAAATCGAGCAGTCTTTTTTTTTTTTTTGTTAGTCAGTGTGCTGTGCAGTGTACTTTGAGGGGATGTTTTGGTCTCCAGATTTTACTGCGGAGTGAGTGCACTTGACATTCATTACACTCCTTGATAAAGAGAGCTGCGGATGATGCAACAGCACAGAGGGGGGGAGACTTTGCACAGTTAGGCTCCAAGATATTTATTATCTTCTCTCTTCTGCTCAATAGTGCTGAATTAACAGCTCACAGCAACTTAATACATCACAGGCTCTGGCTTTTGGTTGAAATCTAGTGTCGGTGAAAAATCTTGTTGCACATTTCTGATCAGTTGTTAGTGCAGTTGGCATCTTAAATTTTAGATGATTGCAACTCTCACACTAAATGTCCCGCTAAACCCTGTTCAAACTTTAAAACTTAAGCTGTAAGCTAGGCTTATTGCTTTCGAGATTGCTAACTGTGTCAAGTGGGGCCTGTGTTTATGGACAGACATTCACCTATCATGCCTTTCCATCTCTTCAAAAAAAGAATTAAAAAAATAAGGACAAATTACCTTACCCTTACTACTCTGTATAATGTAGACTGGGAAACTATGAATTAAATTTATGAATTAAATTGGAGGGTTGTGTTGTTACAAGAGAAGGCTTGGTTTGTTTAATTTTAATACTAACAGGCTGTGAGTCAGGATTCTCACGCAATGCTTTGATTAAGCCTTGACCAAAACAAGACATTTCTGAGTTTTATAAAAATAGGTCAGACCTGGTGAGAACTTGGAGGGCCACAACACGAGTCAAAGCCATGAGCAGGTGTACAGTCAACAGGGGTGTAGGCCTCTTCCTACACAGAGTATGATAAGCAGCACATGTTCCTTCTCTCAGCGTGAAAAATGAATATGACACACCCCACTTCAGGAAGAGAACACTGGTGAAAGGTCACTGCACCTGCTGCTAAAAACATCCTTCGTCTCTCACAGGTGTTGAAACCTGATTTTGTTTTTCAATTCTCTAACTCACTGATGCCTTCCTTTCTCATTCACCCTTTTTAACCGTTCTTGAGATACTGCGTTCACGAGAATAGGATGGATGGACAAGATGAAAACGTAATGCCTCTGGCCACTTCTATTGCTGGTGCGAAGGAATAAAAACAAGTAACTGTACTGCTGCATTTGGATGCAAATTTTGGACAACTGCTTCCCTTCAACTCACCATTTTTGTATTTCTTCAGCTAAATACTGTGTAATATGGCACCATCCAACACATGTTATGAGACATTAATTTAAGTATGACCCACACTTCATCAAAAGCTGCTATATCAGGTTTTGGGTAAACAGACTAGGCTAGTAGTTTTTGTTCTTTCATGGGATTTGTTGATAGTAAAAAAAAATAAATTAAAAAAAAAAAAACTTAACTGAGGCTGGATTTATGGTGAGCCTGTGCATCTAACTATCCCCTCCTGTTCTGTTTACATCCAGTTCTCACCATATACCCTGTTTTTAACCAACCGTTTTTATTTTGTTTTGGTTTTTTCTCTTTGTCACTTACATATTAGACATTCATGCACTGCCATGTCAACTACATGTATTCTCATCTAATAGTAAACATATTATCTTTGTGGATTTAATATAATTGGAAAGCACCAATCTGTGTCTGTGAACCACAAAAACACATTACAGATTAGTAATTAGGATGTATATAAGGCAAGGCCATATGGGTGAAACCAATATATTGTTGTGAAAAATGTGTATAAAAAATCAAATGAAAGATTCAGTGAAATAAAGTGTTTTAAACTACAATATTGTTGGACTTTTATATCAGCCTTAATATCTACAATTCAATTCAGATCTGAATGCCACTCTCTGAAAAACAAACAGAAAACGAAAATGCTGTAGTATCGAATAATGTACCTTCTTTGTAATATACACATCATCTTGACCTTAACCACTCTGTATACAGGCTTTTAGATGAATTACTCTGACAAAGGAATGAAGGTTTTGTTTTAAAGATAAATTTCAGTAGTCTGTATACATTATACAAGATCTCATAACTCATGTTTTGTGCAACTCTGAAAGTCAAATCACCTTTTACTCTGAATTACTCAACAACACAGCAACTGTTGTTTTTTTTAACTAAGCAAGACTTTAAAATCTGCATAGGCCTGAGCAAAGAAATTAAGAAAGACTCCACAGTGGGATTACAAAGAGACCACTGTACAGTTGGGGTGCAAGGGTCAGGACCACAATAATGTAGCAATAGATCTAAAAATGGCCATGTGATAAATTATTACGAGGGGTAATTAAAGGGAATTATAGAAAGCCTAGTTGCACCAAAAAGCGTGGTCTGGTGTGTATGGCTGGGTTATGGCCTGGAGATATGTTGGTGCAGAACCCTTCAGCAGACTTTGTGATCAATAAATTATCAATACATGATGTTGGACCCACGATATCCAAGCCTGTTTATAGGACCAAAACACCCAGCCCAATATAATGATTCTGAGGACAGCACTTGCAGCCTTGTCACCTGCACTAATGTTTCACACTGGAATTCGCTTAGGAGACACTGAACTTCAACCAGTGTGCAACCTAATGTTTTATTATAGCAGAGCAACAGCTACATATCAAAACTGAGAGAGAAAACACTAAAGAGACACCTCTGTCAGGAGTAAACAGTTAAATGGGAGGAGGTCATTATGCAGAGAAACCTTGCATAGCAAGTTACTTAACATTTCAAATATACCTTGAGGTCAATGTGTGCAAAAAAACCTGTAGAACGCCTTGCTGCTATTGACTTTATCGCCATCCATACCTCAGGGCCTTTAGTTGTAGACCTTGAACATCAGTGGTGTTTCTAAAAAGTTGTTTTGACAGTTTGATGAGAGCTATCCAGCCTAATACTTTTTGCCTTATACATGTCTTATGCACCAGCATCACTGCAGGTGCAGGAGACAAAGATGGCAAACCTGCCCTTTGCTGTAGGGTTGCAACTGTATGAGATTTTCACAGTACAATAGCCGTCTCAGAAAATATTTGGGTTTCACAGTGTCACGGTATTACAGAATTTATATTAATGTCAGTCACAATGACCATTAAATGTATGAAAACAGAAGGGTTATTGTTGGTTGAACAAACATTGTATCATTATGATTGAAATTTGAAACCATTTTATTAATGAAAATACGTGTAAAAATAAATCTCCCCTTAGAAAATGATTCAAATAAAGGGGAGATTCAGTGTCCAGTTGCATCTTTTTTTTTTAATATTGTAAAAGAGCAAATGTACACAGCATGATAGCCGCAAACTTTTATTTCATGATATAGCCTACCTTTAAAGCAGTATATCGCTGCAACCCTACTTGGTAGTCATGATTCCCATGACAAACACAGTATTTTGTAATCACCCGAGTTTCTCTCTATGTTTCCCTTAAAATTCCCTAAAGTTTGATTTGATCCCTAAAACCATTTCTGTACACTGATCTGTGTGCATTCCTACTCTGATCTCCATTCTCCTGAACTATGTTTGTGCTCCCTCTCACGCCTCTGTCTCTTCTCTCTCTGTCTAGCTAGACTTTACCCTCACTAAGGTCATTTGTAGCTCAGGAAATGGATCAATAATGAGTTTAAATTTACTGGCAAAGTGCTTACCTTGTATCCTCAGTGCCATTCAATCCAGCCTGGGACTTGCATCTGCCTGCTGCAGAGTCACGTTTCACATGTCCATGATGCTCAGGGGGCTTCTGAGAAACACATTATTGGCAAGAGAAATTTAAAATCACTACACATATGGGTTACAAACACATTAAGTGACAGTATACGGAGGCTGTTGTTGCGTCTTAGTGAGTAAGTCGTTACAGTGGTTGCCTTTGTGTGCTATGTTTGTAGACTGTGACCTAACCATATAGCAAACAATAAAAACCATTCCCAGTAGCAGTTAACATATGGGTGTTGTTATAAGGAGTGAACTGCATGAGCTAATACGCAAGCTAACGTGGTCTAAACAGAGGCTTGTCAAGCTTTGGAAACAAACCTTACGACTAATAGTGAGAGCAGTATTTTGATACAGGTGAGATAAGCGAACAGCAACGTTAACTAACAGGCGTATTCTGCCCTTTTTACTTTAAATATGACTTCGTATTTAAAACTAAACAGACGGACTGGAAAATTAGCTTGCTACAAACTGAATCACCAATTAGTTTTAAAGCTCCTGCTGCTCGAGGTCATTACACCAAACTCGCAGAACGTTGCTAAAAGAGACAAGTCAAAGATAGCTTACCGTGTCCGGGGGACTTCATTTCTGTGTGGATAACGTTACACCGAACAAAACTGAACTTCCAAAAGGAGTCCTAAGGCTTTTCTCGACACGGTAACGTTTGAGTTATCAGTTCCACGTACCAAGTTGTATTAACAACTCGATTTCTTGCTCAGCCTGTTGACAACTGGCTATCTGGACTGAGTTCCTTAAAGAAAAAACGCAGCAGTCCATCAAGGCCAGAGAAATCGAGACCGAGCAGAGCGATAGCTGGCTTGCTATCTGGGGCTGGCGATCGATTTATCGATAGAGCTTCTTTTAAGGCCTGACGTTAGAGCGGATGAGAAGGTAAACTGCAAGTTATAACCATGTTGCACTGTGCTTTTTGGCTCAACAAAAACAATAGAAAAAATAAAAATAATAAATACAATAGACAATATTTCAAAATTTAAAGGACCTTATAATTAAGCGCAACTGTGAGATTTTTCTATTGCCTCCCCTACTAAATAACCGTCCAACAGAAACTAGCAGGTGCTTCTCCAGTCTCATCAAGTTAGGGTGAACTCAGGTGAGACACCTAAACCACCTAAACTCTTAAGAATATTTTATGTGTTACTTTTAGAGTTTGTTATGGTTCTCTGCTATATTTCTATAAGGAAAATTTGCTGCTAATTAAATCATTCTAGAACTTTGGACCTTCAAACACATGAAGAAACCCTACCTCACTCCAATGACACGTTCAGGTAAAATCAGACAGCTGCAGGGGCGTAAATACAGACAGTGCAGGCAGTGCAGTGCATAGACATATATACATGGACGCCGCATTGACTGCCGCTGCCTATCAGAGCCGACGTCCTCGCCGGCCGCCATCTTGGATGGGTCTCGTTTCGCCTCCACAATGCATTCACTTCTATTGAGGAAGGAGCTGTATGCACAAGTAAAATAGAATAACTCACTGAATTTTAAACTGATTTTCACACAGTTTGGTTTGTTACAAACGGCACAAATATAGTTATGATACAGGATGCTTTCGTACATTAAAAATGCGGGATTTCATGCTTTAATACTTTCTGCAGATAGCAACAGCATGTTATTTAGGTCATAACACAGTTATTTTTTTCACCTCAACCCCAGAGTGGGATATATATATATATATATATATATATATATATATATATCATAGACTGTATTTATATACTGTATAAACACAATATACACAATACAAAACATAGTATAGCATATTATGTATAGCGCACCTTCACAGCAGTCAGTGTAATAAGAATAAGAAGAACTTTATTAATCCCCAAAGGAAATTTCAAAGAAGTCTGTAAGATCATCTATTTAACAAAGAATTATTAAGTCTGATGGCTGTGGGTATAAAAGAGTGAGTGTGTGTTAGAAATAAACTCAATCAACAATCAAGCTTTTCCTTTATTAAAATATATTAATAAATTTATTAATATGCTATACTATGTTTTGTATTGTATATATTGTGTTTATACAGTATATACAGTATAGCCTATATATATATATATGTGTGTGTGTGTGTGTGTGTGTATGTGTCTGTATATCTATATCTATCTATCTATCTATCTATCTATCTATATATATAGTATATATAGTATAGTATATAGTATATATATAGTATAGTGTAGTATATATATAGTATGATGGATATATATATATATATCCATCCCACTCTGGGGTTGAGGTGAATAAAATAACTGTGTTGTGACCTAAATAACATGCTGTTGCTATCTGCAGAAAGTATTAAAGCATGAAATCCCGCATTTTTAATGTACGAAAGCATCCTGTATCATAACTACATGTGTGCTGTTTGTAACAAACCAAACCGCGTGAAAATCAGTTGAAAATTCAGTGAGTTATTCTATTTTACTTGTGCATACAGCTCCTTCCTCAATAGAAGTGAATGCACTGTGGAGGCGAAGCGAGACCCATCCAAGATGGCGGCTGGCGAGGACGCGCTCAGGCACTTGATGCGGCGTCTATGTATATATGTCTATGGTGCAGTGGCACTGGGGCCCATGGGGTGGGGGTGGTGGGCCGTAGAGAGAGTGGTTGGTGGGCGCACTCTCTCTAATGATCCCATGTGAGTGATTCAACTTGCCACCTCAGAAATATGCCTCTGTTCAAAGAACACATGTTAAAATACAAATGCTGTTATCTGCTCGATATGCCCTCGAGAAGCCAAACCCATCTCTGTCAATGTTTCTTTTATTTTTCTTTTGTGAAATAATAAGTAGAAATCTATAACAAAATTATGTGTTTATTTTACATAAATTATATAAAGTATAAATACATTATTACCCCACTAAAAATCCCAGTAATGAACAATTTCTGATTTTATTTGGTATTTTTGTCATATACAGATTTGCAGTGATGATTGGTAATAATGTATGTTGATGTTGTCCAACGTCAAGTCTGTATTTGATCATGTGATGATACTATAAAATATACAGTAGCTGTTTCAATACAAAATCTGGCACCAGGGCCCATCATAATAGTGTGCACTGGGGCCCATCCTAACTACCGTACACCACCGGATAGCTGGTAAAGTAAAATGGGACAGTTGTAGGGTTTTTTTTTTGTTTGTTTTTTGAATGGTTAAAATCATTTATCAGTTCATTCATTCATTCATTCATTACATCGTTAATGTTACTGAACTATTTATTAGAAAAGAATGTCCAACATTTCTGCCATGTTGTCACTGCTCTTTTGCTGCCTGTTTTCTTGGTGCCATTTTTCCTGCAGCGGAAAGCTGTGTATGTAACAGTTGTGGCTAATTCTGAACTATTGTGGCTGACATGGACTTATCGCATTAGCTTTAATATTTATTAAGTGACAAAATACTATAAATGTCTTTAATATGACAGGGTGCCACACAGTAGCATTAAGTCGTGACTTTATTCCACTTGTTAGGCTAGAAATATGTTGGTTTTGCTGTAGCAAAATGTCCCATTTTACCTGAATGCATTAAGTACTCACTCAAAATCCTTTTCCATAAAAAGTAAAGTGTGATGTGAAAATATTTCGATTATAAGTAGAACATTTAATAAAATGCAACAATGCAACAAAATGCAACCCTTACTGATAGCTACAGTAATCTTATTACCAAAAGGAGATAATCAACATGCCACATTGCTCACCTTGCGAGTTCTGGGTCCAGTGATTTTTTTTCTATAATTCTATCACATTTTCTGTAACTAACTTTGTTCAATTTTATTTGATTATTATTCCCAACCTGACTTAACTCTCCATGTGTAGCCTAAATCAATGGAGTGATGATTTAAACCCATCACAGTAAAAACATTTCGACACCAGTGCGTTTCTGCTGTAGGAAAACATTTAATATTCTGCACTCGAAGCCCAGTCCGTGATTTAAAAAAGGCATACATGCTGCAGTGAGATTGTTGCGTTTGGTGTTAGTGAATAGCAACTCTTCCCATTTAAATTAAAGAAATACTTCACCCACAAAATTACCATTTGTATACCAATTAGTCATGCCGTGTTACCTCTTACTTGTCAAGAAAACGTTGTTTTTCTCACATACCTCCATGACAAACGACAAACATAGGCCGTTGATTTATTGACTGATTGATTGGGGTCCTCATTAACAACAGCAACACTATATCAAATCATCTATTTACATACGCACCATCACTCAAATGATTTATGGAGTATAATGCAAGTCTCATTTATCAATTATCAATTACATATCAATTTGTTACCATGGAATTAGTAATATTACCAGTACTAGTATTATTTCTACATATTTATTTCTAGATATTTACCATTACAGTGCTTTGAAAACATCTCAGAAATTGTGAAAAATCATACTGTTGCATCTATCTACATAAATAACATAAAATATATAGTATTAACAATAATAAACAGTAATCTGTTTTTTATTTCAGAAAAAATGTAAATGTATTATCTTAGCATCACTACCTGTACTATAAAAGGACAAATCGATTGTTTGGTTGAGCATGGCTTTAGACAGTAAAAAATCATATATGTGAAATTATTAGAGCATATCATGTAAAACATTAAATATACTGTATCATTTTGCAACAGTGAATGATCAGGAGTGTTTTAATTTTGAAGCAAAAAGGCAAGATTAATTAGATTGGTTTAACTTTACTACCTTTACCATTAAAGGACAAATCAACCGTTTGGTAGAGCATGTTTTTAAAAAGAATTAATTGACCCTAGACTATTTGTTTTTGTATAAAGTGGCATAGGTCTGTTCAGTAAGACCTCTGAAACGATAATGTGTTGAAAAAATATGCCTACCTTTGAAATCCCACCACACAGAGCCCTCATGTCTGGAGTAACTTTTTCCTAACTTCCTGTGGGAGGCAAACTGCAAGGACATAGCACTTACAGACGCAGCAACATTTAGTAGGTTTGTTCTAGCATAACATACTTAAACTGAATAGCAGAGATAGCTCAATAGAGTTAATTTCAACACATTTTTTATTCAGATGATCAAACTGTGCTCAACCAAACAGTTAAGCAGGATGTTAAAAGGATATTAGTGAAAATGCATATTTTTTGGAAGTACTGGATAAATGAGACTTGGATTACACTGCACGAGTTGTGTGAGAGTTTGTAAACAGATGTTTTGATATAGTTTCACTGTTGTTACGCATGGTCCCCAATCAATTAATAAATCAATATGTTGACTTTTTTTGAGACATGTGAAAGAAAAACAAAGTTTTGTTTGTGAATTCAAAGTGACAAAACATGACTAATTGATATACAAATGAGTGATCCCTTTTCAGCTGCTACTATAACACTATATTATGTCCATAAAATATGCTGTGTGCTTTTATGAGTCAATGTACCTGTCATATAACCCAGGTTTAGTGGTTATAGTATGTGTGTAGTAGTGAACTGCACCATAAATGTCTGTCACAAGCCAGAAAAACCAGTCCCTTTTGTAGAACTCATCAAAAGAATACAGAGTGAGACCATGGCGATCGGTTTCATAATTTTGGGAGGTTTTAGGTTTATTATAGTATGTATGTATTGGTCTTATAAGTTAGCAATTAATATGTCTACATAGAGAGTTTGATTACACAGCAATAATTAATAGCAAATACATCCACTCAGTTTGACTTTTACACACTTGACAAAGACAATTTTCTTAAACTTTTTTAGGACTACACATGATGAACTT